ATATTTAAAGTTCAAGAAGCTCGTTTCCTTTCCTTCCTCTTCATCAGACAATTATTTCCAAGAGAATCTCTGAGCAGATAAAAGCACCGACAAAGGCTTGATTTTGTTGAATTTTTTTTTCTTTTAATGCTTTCCTGTTGAAAAGTATAGAAAGCAAGGAGAAAAGGAAGAGGAGAAAGTTTCCTGGAAGACTGAAAAATAATTCAATTTTTATTATATTTCCAAATCTCAACAAAACAGACATCTGTCAATCATCTTCAGTCAGTGAGACAGGTATTTTCCAATCTGGATTAAGAAAATCACTCTGCAAAACATATTTAGAAGTACTTAAAATCAAGTTTATGCATTGATGGTTTTTCTCCTGGAAAAGAGATAAATTCTAAATCTTCAAAGTTAACTATGATTGTAGCCCACAGATCAACATGAAGAACATTGTTATTCAAACCCTGCCTTCAAAAAAATAAGTAAAATAAAATAAACAAGCCTGCCTTCCACATGCAGCAGCAACTTCAGAGTGAAATGTTCTTCTATGCTTGGCAAAGCACGTTCTTTATGAATCTAGGCATTTTTCTTTTAATTTAAGTAGCAAACTCAAGTCCTAGAAATGACACTAAAGCTACCTCTTTCCAAACTATTCACCATGGACCACAGTACTCAACACTGCAGCCCACACCTCGCACGCTGGGAAAGGGCCTCATTCATACAGCTGCCCAGATAGCAAACGTCTTCATGCCATCTTGATGCCTTTTTAAGATAAAGCACGGCAATAACTGTACAAGGAAAAGTGGTCAAACCCTTCCTCCTAGAAGCCAGTGTCAATAATGACTGGCATGGAGCCACTGCCATAGCCCACAGGCTAGGGTACAGCAGAAGTGGGGTTTCCACCATGTCATACTTGCCAAATCCTGAAGGCAGTCAGATTTCCGTGTCCACTTTCCCCTCAACAAAAAACTTTCCGGTTTTTAAAAAATATTTGGATAGTTTTTAGAAGAACCATCTAATTTTTAATAGAGTCTAATCAGATGACCAATAAACAGGAGTTATTTAACAGGGTCAGGTCCTCACGTAGAATGAGAACTGTGGCAGGTGAGACCCTGCCTTCCAGAGCTCTCCCTGCCCCCGACATGCAGGCCGTGCCCTTGGCCTCTTGTTTCAACATAGAGGAGCCCAGCTCACTGGTCAGAGGGCCTTTCGGGTGTCACTCTTCTCAGCGGCAGCAGTAGACCCTGTGTTTCCAGGAAGGGACAAACACCCAGAGTGGGGTTTTTTTTTGCGGG